GCAAATATATGTCCCACAAGCTAACCATTTTCTCTCACTTAAATGATTAAATTGTTGAATAATAAAGTAGATTCAGAATAAAATTTTTCTATTATTATTTTTTATACCAATAAAAATACAATTTATTTATTTATTTGGTACTGGGGATCAAACTTGGATCCTTGCACTTGCACAGCAGGTGGCGAAACCACTGAGCTAAATCTCCGGCTAAAAATACAATTTAACAAATATCTTTTGACTACTTTGTGCCACGTACTGGAGAAAAACAAAAAAAGTGTTTAGTTTTTTTGTTGTTGTTTTTGGGGTTTTTTTGAAACAAAGTCTTGCTTTACTGTAGTTCAGGCTGGCCTTGAACTCACTAGGTAACCCAGGCTGGCCTCAAACTTGTGGGGATCCTCCTGTCTCAGCCTCCCAAGTGCTGGAATCACAAGTGTGTGCTAACACACCCAGCCCGGATTCTTGTTCAGTAATCGGGCAGGGATTAAATCACATCCACTAAGGGGATATTTTACATAACCATCGATAAATTTTGAAGACTATTTAAGGAGATAGAAAATGCTGATGATATATTCAGTTAGAAAAAGCATATTATAAAAGATATATTCAGTGCAATTTCCATTTCATCTAAAATAATTCAAGTCTAGAATCCAAAACTAGAGAGAGTATGTTCTGAAATGTTTACATTGCTTATTTCTGGAGTAGTACACATGAAACAGGACTAACTTCCATATTCAAATTGTTCTGTAATGAAAACAAATTGATTTTCTGATTAGATGATAGTGTGGTGGATTTTTAAGGATGGAGCCCTGCTCTTTGGTATCAGGGAACGGACACACTCATCCTCTCTTTGACCTCTCAGAAAAGGTAGGATTAAAGCTGGGCTTTTCAGAGAGAGTAAAATATCACTAGATGGCTGTACAGAAAGAATGACCAACACACAGGGGAGAACCACGTTGAAAAAAATGTGCAGAGTGGAGCCGGGAAATCAACTATGAGCCATGCCAACTTTGCTGGGCTCGGGGTGGGCGGCCGAGTTGGCAGAGCTTCGGATTTGGTGAGGAGTCTGATTTTGCGGTGTACGCTGGAGAAAATCAGTAAAGGTTTTAGATTTGAGGTGAGAGAATTCCATCCAGGACGGATCTGTATTTAGACAGGTGGTTCTGGGAGGGGCGAGGCGGAGGAGGACTTGAAGGTTGGAACGGGAGAGGCAGGGAAATTGAAAGGTGCGCCTGTCCCTTTTTGTCTGCGGCTGGTCCTTCTCAGCTCCTCTCTCTTCCTGCTGCCCCTTGGTCTGGGTGCTCCTGGGCACCTCTCTCCTTCATCTGCCATCTCCTGGCTTCACGTGCCATCTACAGGCTGTTGTCTTCCGGTCCAGAGCTCCAGCCTGGATCTCTTGCCTCGGCTCCAAACCAGTGCAGGTGAATTCTGTCCAGGTCGCCTTCCGCTAGCCGTCGCATGACTCCTCTACCTCACAGAAACATCTGTCCTTCTGCCAGTATCCAGGTCTCCTTCTACTCCCCAACAGGCTCCATTCTCCCATCCTACCCCTTACAACAGCCAGAAACTTGAATGTTCCCAACAAAGACACAGAAGGACAAATACCGTGAGGTTCCATTTGTGTCAAGTGGGTATCAAATGGGGAAATTCACAGAGAGAGTAGAAGGGCAGATGTCAATGTTGGTGGGGAGGGAGCACTAACTTTCTGTTCACGGTGATGGAAAGTCCTAGTGATGGTGGCCCCACACTGTCATTGTACTTCCTGCCCCTGAAATGTACACTTAGAAGTAGTTAAAATGAGGTGTGCACACGCCTGTAATTCCAGCACGCGGGAAGCTGAGGCAGGAGAATGGCAAGTTTGAGGGCAGCCCCAGCAACTTCGTTTCTCACACACAAAAAAAGTTAAAAGGGTAAATTTTTATGTTTTGTGTGTTTTACTACAATTAAAAAATAAAATTAATAATAATAAATAAAACTCGTTCAACTTGATTAGACTTTCTGGACCATGGAAAACTTGAAAGTAGGATCTGTATCCTCATCCCTTTGATATTAGAAGGAGTCACTGGGGAACATTCCCACACGAGTCTGGGTGGCGGGAGGAAAGCTGCTTGCTTCCTGCCAGAACTCCACGTTACCTACAAAGCGGTCCTGGGACCAGTGGTTGGGGAGTTGTGGGCCAGCTCGTCTTGTCTGGAACCACCCAATGCTGTTATTGTTTAATTTTTTTTATTTTTGGTACTGGGGATCAAACTTGGGTCCTTGCGCGTTCGAGGCAGGCAGTGGAACCACTGAGCTAAATCCCCGGCCCACTGTTAATTTTTTAAGGGAGATGGAGTTGGAACTTTGAAACCCTTCAGCTGGAAAGAAACTTCTAGAACACAAACCCCGATTGGAGACCGATTGACTTCCACAAACCTAAGCCGGCAGTCTGCTCACTTTTTGCCGAAGAATGTAGAGTGTTTGGGGAAGACAGGAGGTTCCGCCTGGGGTAACTTGCAGCCTCCCAGTCACTCTCTGGGCAGATCTGTGCGTGTTGGAACAAAGGCTGAGTGCAGGGAACCCTGCGAGTGGAGGGGAAGGGGAACCGCACCCTAGGGCCCTGTGTCTGTCCCTGGGCCAGGACCTGGCCTAATCTGGCCTGAGGCAAGGGGTGTGTAGGAGGCTCAGCCCACATTTAACGTCTTTCTGTGCATATCTGAGACTCAGATCTCTGTCTGTGCCCCTGTGCTCCACTCCCCATCTGCACCAGCCTTCCCTGGTCACTAATACTTATGTCCAGATCTGATATGCACATCCCTTGCCTTTTTGTCCAGGTTCTCCTCTGGTTCCCAGTGCTCCTACCCCTTTTGAGACCCCTGGGCTTTTGCTCTGGTTATCTTTCTGAGTTCCCTGCTTCAGGAACCTATCTAATGCCCCAACTCAAGAAGGCGCCCTTGTACAGTGCACAACCTGTGGGACCACCCATGTCCATGAAGACTCCCAGGGCTGTTCTTCATTCTGTCTATCCGCCTCTAGAGAATTTGAAATTCTGTCCTGAAATTGCAGCATAGTTGCAACTTTTCCATGTCAGCTTGTTATCTCTTCTACTTGAAAAGTACATGCTTCATATAAAAACTTCAAACCTTTATAGGAAGTACATTTCCTACAGTCCTTTCTTAGGTGATCAACACTAGGTTTTTCTTTTCCTAGTCACATACTAGTGTAAGCGTATACAATGTAGCACAACTCCTGCTCTACCTACTGTTTTGCAGCTTAGTTTTTTCCCCTCTACTTAGCTATGTATCTGGGGCATCTTTTCATTTTGGCAAATAAGAGACCTGTTTCATGATTTAATGACTATATTGTATTTCGTTATTTGGATGTAGTGTGATTTACCTAAATGATTCCATTGATGGACAATTGGAATTTCTCCAGCCTTTTGCTATTGCGTATAATGTAGGGACGAATAATCTTAAGCAGATAAATCTTTGCACAATTGCAAAAAGGTTTCTCTAGGATAAATTCCTAGGTAGAGTAGCTAGGTTAGATGAAGCAAACACTGTACATTTTAATGGACATGTCAAGTCCCCTTCCTAAATGGTTTAACAATTTTGCTCTCCTGGCCAAGTATGGACAATGTTCTATTCCCTTTGCTTCACCAACAGTGGCTAGCTTTCTTAGTCTTTATGAACTTAATTAGTGGAAAATAGGTAGTTTGCATTAAAAAGTTTTTACGTCTTTACATTGCAAAACTCCAAGGGGATATTGATTACCTGAGGTAGAAATCTTTCATATATTTATTATCCATTTGTATTTCTCAGGCCGGGGATTTAGCTCAGTGGTTCCACCGCCTGCCTCCCAAGCTGAGGACCCGGGTTCGATCCCCGGTACCAAAAAAAAAAAAGCCAAATTTCTCCTCTGATTTCCACCTGGGCTTCTGCTGACCATGCCCTTTAATTACTTGTTGCTGTTCCCTGCCTGGTAGAAGGAGAAACCCATTTCTTGCCTTCAGGCCTATGGACAGGTGACCTCTCCCTGCTTCAAGCTAAAGTTGCTTGTGTGGGAAGAGACCTGGCTTGACTTCCTCCTGGCTGCTCCACATATTGTGTGACCGACCTTTGCCCTTTCTAGACCTCAGTTTCCCCACTTGAAAACAGAGGGAGTCAATTTGCCTACAGTGTACCGTTGTCTTCAGGATTAAATGGGATAATTTGTGTAGAAAGCACTTAGTCTTTCCCTCTCACAGGGTAAATGCTCAGTGACTGCGCAACGCATCGTTGTTATTATGTATGCTGTAACAAGTGGTACTGTTTTCCAGCCTGTGCCCTTTGAGCATTATCAATATTGAGAAGGTGCTTTCAGGGCAGCCTCAGTATTGAGATACGGGAAGGAGATGGTAATGGAGTTCTGTTAAAACGATTACAGTGTTCTCCTGTTGTCTCCATTCCCTTAATTGTTTAGGGCATAAACATTAATGAGGTGGCTCAGCTCTGAATGCACATATATCACTTTCCACTATCACAAGGGGTGAACAGATATACGGTGAATATTTACATTAAAAAATTTATTGCAGGAAAAGACACATTAATCTCCCTCAAAATATTCTGTCTTTGAGCACACTTAGGCCATTGTTCTTGCCACTTTCTGAAGCAGTTCTGGAAGTCCTCTTTTATGAGGTGTGATCAAAAATAGGGTGAATGCCACTCAGTGGCAAAACAGGGTTGTATAAATATGACAGCGTGTCCTCATCCGCCTTATTCACTGGATCTGGCGCCATGCAACTTCAGGCTCCTCTGCAAGGTCAAAATGACTTAGTGAATGGTAAGTGTTTTGAATCGATTCAGGACTGAGGCAGCCACAACAGTGCAACTAAAGACACTGGTGAAATAGGATTTCCAGAACTGCTTCAGAAAGTGGCAAGAATGATGGAATAAGTGTGTTAGAAATGAGAGAGGGAGAGTGAGAGAGTGTATTTTGGAAGAGATTAATGACAATGTGTCTTTTGTTGTAATAACTTTTTTTAAAAGAATTTAAATAGTCACCCTAGTTTTCAATCTGTTCACTCTCTTTATTGTAACTGATTTCACATCATCAGAGGTTACAAGCTGAATGGTTATATGCAGTCCACAGATTTCTCATGTTTACTGAGTATTGTAGTGTTTTATTTTGTATTTTTTCCACTTGAGCTGATATTTAGAAGTTGGAATATTAAACATTAAAAAAAAAATCTAGATTTCCTGCTTTTCTGGAGAAGGAAATAACTGGTGTCCTGTAGAACCAGATTGCTGCTGCCCTTTCTGCACCGGGGTTCCCAGGCTTCCGTGCCTCCTTTTTGACCCCTCTGCTGTGCCTCTGGACCTCATTTGACATTCCTTATCACACTTGCCCTGCTGCTTGCTTATGGTAGAAGAATTTTTCTTGGTACCTATGTCGCCACTAAACATTGGAAACTAAGAGAAAAAAATAAAAAGAGGTTATTTCTTTGCATAAGTAAAGATTATTTCCATGTGTTTAATTGACCAAGAAAGTGTATCTGTTAATTTCAGCCATTGGCTTCATTCCCTGCCCTGCTCTGCCAAATTTCTGGAGCCAAGGGAGACATAAATTGGTCCTGTCTGCCCTATAGGCGGTGCTCTGGGATCCTCTACCTTCTTGATCCTCTACCCTCTTGACCTTCTAACCTGGGAAGTTAAAAAAAAAAATACTGATGCCTCCCTAGAGGCAGGAGTCATTTGGTGTGCAGTGGAGCCTGGGTTTGGGGTTCCTTAAGGCTCTCCTGTGTGCAGTGTGAGTTGAGAAATATTCTATGCCACTGCCTGACTCCAGCCTCTGAAAAGCAGATCTTTTTTGAGTGGGTCAAGAAGAACATTGGTTGGACTTGTGTCTAAGGGCATTATCCCCCTCTATTGACATGTTGCCTCTTAGAATCCCCAAGTTTTCCCACAAAACCAAGGGTCAGATGAGTCCTGAGATTCTCCTGCCTTGAAGCTGTCATGCCCAAGAAGGCAACATGGGCAAATGAGACTGGCTATATCCTATTCTTAGGGAGGAGAAAAACACTACCATTCTTTTCTTTGGTGCTTTCTTTCTTGGATTAGCCATTTCTCACTCTCAAATTAATAAGACACAGAGGACCAGGCTTTGGCTGTGGCCTTGGGGGAGGAGGAAGAGCACTGTTCGTCTGTCTCTGAGGCCTAGGACAGGTCTCCCTGGGCAACAGGGCCTGCTGGTTCCAGGTGGTGGAGAGGCCAGCTTACCAGGGTGCAGGATCACGCTGGAGTTTGCGGCCAGAGCTGCACAAGCACGAGTACTACATTAACTGGAGCAGCCTCTCAGCCTGTTTTCTCCCAAAATGCGGTTTGGTGTGTCCACTGGAGGGCCTGAGTGTTGACCAGTGGAGGGCCCTGATATGGTTCCCATCATCAGATCTTCTGGCTTGTTCTAGGCACAAAAGGAGGTGAGGGCTCCATCGTGTGTTCCGAGGCACTTATACTTCCTTTTAGAGTGTTTGTTTATCATGATAATATGGATTGAACCCAAGGCCTCGAGTATGCTAGACAAGTGCTCTACCACTAACCTATACCCCAGCCCTCTTTTAAAATTTTACTTTGGGGCCTGGGGATTTAGCTCAGTGGTTTCGCTGCCTGCCTTGCAAGCGCAAGGTCCTGAGTTTGATCCTCGGTACCAAAAAAAAAAATTTGTTTTTTACTTGGGGATAAGGTGTCATTAAGTTACCCAGGCTAGAATTGAACTTGTTATTCTTCTGCCTCAGCCTTTTAGACAGTTGAGATTACGAGAGTCCACCACCACACCTGACTCCTGGAGTATTTATATTTTAGATCAATTTTTCTTTATATGTCTGTTTCTCTTACAAGAATCTAAGCTCCTTGATTATAAGGTCTATACTTTATCCATTTTCATATCTTTGGTGCTCAGGACATAATGAATGTTAAGTAAATATTTTCTAATCCATTTAATTTTCAAGAATTTTATCGACTGTTTTTACTATAAGAAAAGCTCTTTTCTAGATGCTAGAGATTACAAAAAAAAATTTAAAGCTGGGAGTGATGATGCAGACTTGTAATCTTAGCACTCAGGAGGCTGAAGCAGGAGAATCACTGCAAATCTGAGGCCAGCCTGGACTACATAATGAGTTCAAAACCATCCTAAACTACATGTTGAGAGCCTATCTCGGAAAAAAAAAAGTTTAAAATGTACCTCACATCCTGAAGTAGCTTAGTATCCAGCTGGGGAAGTAAACTCAGTCATTCATTCCTTAGTTCATTCAGTCATTCCTGAGTATTTATTTATTTATTTTTGATTGAACTCGGGACCTTGCACTTGCAAGGCAGGCTATGGAACCACTGAGCTAAATCCCCAGCCCTCCTGAGTATTTATTTAAGTTTTAGTCATATTGGCAATAAGAGTAATAAAGCAATAAAAGATAAATTCAGTGTGTGTCCCCTACTCACAAGTGACTTCCACTCTAGTAGAGAGGACAGTTATAAAATGAGCATCAACAGAATCTGAGAAGGGCAATGATATAATTTGTAATAATCATTAAAACTATGAAGTAGAAAATAATTAGCTCCAAACAGTAACAAAAGATCTATCACAAAGCAGTGCCTGACTTGGAGGTTGCCAAGTAGAGGAGGACATCAAGAGGCGTCTGCTGGGCCGGGGATTTAGCTCAGTGGTTTTGCCGCCTGCTGCACAAACACAAGAACCCGAGTTCGATCCTCGGTACCAAAAAAAAAAAAAAATGCGCGTCTGCTAAGAAAGGGCTCCATGGTGCACTTGGCTAGTGAGTCATGGTGCATGACCCACAGCAAAGCCTCTCAGGAGGCTCACATTCAAAACCTGCTGAGCCCTGCCTGACCAATGGTTGCCACACCTGTTTGTTTCCTCCTTGCTACATAGCATCCTATGGAATTATAATTCCTCCCTACCACTATGGGAAAGGCTGGGGTAGATACCATTGGTAAGTAGATAGCTGGTGGTCTTACCTTTTTAAGGACATGGCCTTTTAAGAAATGGTTGGTCCAGGCACCTCAGAAACCTACCAAGACCCCACCCCAACATGGACAAGGCAAGAAAGGAAGGGAGGAAATTCCAGGGAGGAAAGGTCTGTGTGGGCCAAGATGGAAGAACCTGGAAGAGGTGGGTCAGTTTGACCCTAACGGAGAGAGAGTGTGCAGAGGGAGGACCAGGGGGAGCTGGGGGAAGCCAAGTGTGGAGGGCTCTGAATGGTGGGGTAGCAGATCCTAGTGACTGATTCACTGTGAAAGAAACAGGAGATGCCAGGGCTGAAGATGACCCTATTAACGGGGTCTGGAGCCATACTAGAATTATTTACAGAAACAGGAAACCCCCAGGGAACAACTTCAGCACATCAAAACCATGTTCTAATTATGTTGAAATACCCCAACTTGTCTTTATTAACCAGTGCTGAGGTCCCCATCCAAAAATCCATTGTAAGGATTGAATTTTCCATCCTACCTTGAACAGTTAAAAATCAGATTTGTCTGACTTCTAATTTTAGAAGGAACCGGGCTGACCTTCATTCCGCTGTTGCTAACTGGAGCCCTGTTACCTGGGTGACTAGATTTACAATATGTCAGTATGCAAATACCATCTGCCCAAGAGGAAGAGCGACAAAGGCCTTGCTCCTGCCGGGGTGGTCAGCAGAGGGCTGGCAGAGGAGCAGAAATGCAGAGAGGAAGATGTGACAGTTCATTTCCAGCACCTTCTCCTCCTGCTCCGTTCCCCTCCAAGGGGTTCTGCCTGCAGCAGGGACAGTGGGTCACCTGGCTGGTAGTTAGGGATGCACACACAGGGATTCCATGGTGCATTTCTCCTAGTAGAGTGAGCAAAAGAGGAATCTGTATCACTCCAGTGGGTCACAAAACACTTAGATCCAGATAATTGGAATAGCTTAACGAAGACCTCGACTATGCAGTTCTTGCCTCCCAAAAGACCTCAGGAAAGCTCATTTCTAGCTGGTAAGTGTGCAAGCTGGAAAGGCCAGCCGCCCTTACCTGGTGAGCTTTGAGGAAGGCTAAAGTGAAGCGAAGCCCACACCTCAGGCTGACTGGGTAAACCAAAGGGATTCTTCCCCCACGGAACATCTATATTCAGCTCTTGTCCTGTGTATTGTTTCAGGCTGGGGCTTAGAATCACATTTGGAAGCATTCAGTCCCGAAGGCAGGGATGTTCTGCTGTTGCATCTCATGGAATAACTGTCACATCAGCTGTCAGCTGCAGGACTCTCTCCCACCCACACATTTGGTGAGGCCAAATTAAGTGGACTCATTAATTTTAATTTTTACTTTCAAATCTCAAGGATGTCCATGGCTGGGTGTGCTTCCTTTAATGGTTGTGTGTGTTGGAATTTGTGTGGGTGGAAGACTTTCCAGGAGCAGGACAGAGGACCTGGGTTTTCTTGGCTTCTAATTTTGTTTTCCCTGGTGACTTCCCCTTGTGACCTGTTCTTCCTTGCTCTCCTTAGCTCTGCTGTCTCCTCCTTTGTTTAAAGAAAATTCTTCTTATTATCGTCATAAAACTGCCAGCAGCATTCAGGGGCGAGGAAAGGAAAGGTGCTTTCCTAACCACGATCATTTCACCCAGACTTATAAATAACCTGTTCTCAGGATGCTGATCACGTGGCCAAGGAGATCCCTGAATGACTGGATCCTGGAGCTCGACTGCCTAGGTTCAAATCCTAGCTCTACTACTTACTAGCTGGGTGACCAGGGGTAAGATACCTAACCTCTCTGTTCATTGATTTCCTCATTTGCTAGTGATATTTTAAAAAAAACCACTACCTGCAATTCATAGAGTTGTGAGAATTAAATAAGTACAGTATAGATATTTTAGAACCATGATCAGCCTGGAGGAGCCAGCATGCACGGCAGCTTTGATGATGACTTCTGTCATGCCTCTGCAGGGATCCTGGTGAAGGAGTGAAGTTTGACTGTGAGCACATACAACTCCAAGATGGGCTTGCAGGCTGTGGCCTCCCCCTGCCTTGTTTCGAAGTTACTTCTTGTCCACCAGGAGGTGCCCCTCCCCTACAAGTGCATCCCCTGCTGCTCCGCTCCTCCCCCATTGCACACTTGTGGTCTGCGTTGCGTCAATAGCACATTAGGTGATGCTGTTGTGGCAGATCATGCTAATTGCCTGTATGTGAGGCTGATCTCTTTGTTTTCCCTGTGAAGTAATGAAAAAATGTCCTGTGGCCAGAGAGTTACCAATGATGTTTGTTCCATGGATGATGTGCCCAAGTGGGTGACTGAGACCATGCTTGTCCCATAGTTTACTCTTGGCTTTTGGAGCCACTTGGTTGACTTATTGTTGTTTTGTTTTGTTTTTTGGTACCGGGGATCGAACTCGGGTCCTTGCGCTTGCGCAGCAGGCGACGAAACCACTGAGCTAAATCCCCGGCCCAAGGTTGGCTTATTGTTGTTGTGGTTGTTGTGGTGGTGGTGGTGGTGGTGGTGGTGGTGGTGGTGGTGGTGGTCGTGGTGGTCGTGGTGGTGGTGGTCGTGGTTGTGGTAGTGGTTTCTATAGGTAGATTAAAGCTATTCAAAGTAAATGCACACACCTGTAATCTCAGCACTCTTGAGTAGCTGAGGCAGCAGGATCACCCAGTCTGGGCAACTTAGTGACTTAGTGGGACCCTGTCTCAAAATAAAAAATAAAAAAAGGGCTGGGGATCTAACTCATTGTGAAATCCCCAAATTCAATTCCCAGCACTGCAAAAACAAAATAAAACAAAACAAAACACTATCCAAAGTAAGTATGAGACATTACAGATAGGAATGTAAAATGGAACAGTTGCTGTGGAAGAAGTCAGAGAGTTCTTCAACAGGTTAAACACATTATTACCGTAGGACCCAGCAATTCCACTTCCAAGGGAAATGAAAATATATGTACCCATAGAGACTAGTACTGAAACGTTCACAGCAGCATGATTTAAAATACTGAAAAAGTGCAAACTACCTAATTGTCCATCACTTAGTGAGTGGAAAAGAATATGTGGTATATCCATACAATGGAATATTATTTGGTAGTGAAAAGACAGTACTGATTTTTACTACAACATGGATGAACCCTAAAAAGATGTTAAATAAAACAAACCAGTCACAATAGACTACCTATTATATGATTCATTTATAAGAAATGTCCAGAATAAGCACATCTATAGAGATGGAGAGTAGATTAGTGGGTACCAGGGGCTAGGAGGAATGGGGAATGACATTCCTGAGTATCAGGTCTCATTTGGGGGTGATGAAAATGTTCCAGAATGAGATGGTGATAATGATTGCACATATACATCTCCATAGAATTGTACACTTACAAAAGTAGGAGCAACATTTATGAAGCCCACTGCTGAGCTTAAAGTCATTTCAAAGATTACTTTTTCAAGAGTTGCTGTCACCTAAAATAAAATAGTGACTTAATTTGCAAGAAAAATATTAAAAATAATTTGGGGCCTGGGAGTGTCGTGGTGGTAGCTCCTTAGTAGAGCTTAGCATGTATAAAGCCCTGAGTTTAATCCCTGGCATATAAATAAAGAAAGAAAGTTTAAAAAAAATTTCCATTTAAAAAAAAATTTTTGCACCCCAAGTCTTTGAGTATTAGTTCTATATATGTAATTCATCAGTACATTCTGTATGACTCTGTCTCCTATGCTATGATTCTGTAATTTACTACATTCCTGGCTGGGCCCTCAAAATAATACTGAAAGCAGCTTCTATAACAGCTCTAGAAATGCCCTTTCAGGTCATGCCCACCTGCACCATCCCTGGCCTCCCCAAGGTAATAATTCATAGCCGTGTCCTTGTAAAGAGAGGCTTCACTGTTTGCAGATGTGCTTGGGCCTTTTCAGACTTATGGGGACTCAGTGCGTTGAGTTTATCCGCAGTTTGCAACCAGAGAATTTCCCAGGACGTCCTCCAGCCCCTGCAAGAGATCCATCTCAGTTCCTCAGTGTTTGCTGAGAAGCCTGCTGATGGATTCTTCTGGCTTAAGTTAATAAATAGGAGGGTCAGAATAGTGCTGGCTTGGTGCTTACTTGGGAGAAGGGTTTGATGCTCAAGTACCACCTCACATGGGCTTCACGAGAATAGGGGACCCAAGAAAGAATGAGAGCAGACTTCAACGTCCCGTGATCACTTCACACCCATCAGGACGGCTGCTCTTCCCAAGTGTAGAAAATAAGTATTGGTGGAGATATGGAAAAATCAGAACCCTTGTACACTGCTGATAGGAATATAAAATGTGCTACTGCTGAGCAGAACAGCTTGGTGTTTCCTCAAAAAGTAAAACCTAGAATTACTGTGTCATCCAGCCATTCCACTTTTGGGTCTGTACTCAGAACAGTTGAAAGCAGGAACTCAGACAGATACATGTGTGCTAACATTACTAGCAACATTAGTTGTTATTATACCCAAAATGTAGACGTAACTCAAATGCAGACCTGTAATCCCAGCACTCTGGGAGGCTGAAGCAGGAGGATCACAAATTCAAGCCCAGCCTAGGTAATTTAGCTACTTCGCAAGACCCTGTCTCAAAAAGAGAAAGTAAAATAAAATTAAAAGGCTGGGGCTATAACTCAGTGCAAAGGCCCTGAGTTCAATTCCCAGTGCTGTGCAAAAAAGAAAAAAAAAGTCCATAAGCAGATAAATGGGTTACCAAAATGTGGTCTATTCAGACACAAAAGGATATGTAGTAGGGCCAGGGGTTTAGCTCAGTGGCACCAGCACCTGCTTCGAAAGCACAAGGTCCTGAGTTTGATACCCAGTACAAAAAACAAAAAAGGATACGTAGTGTGTCTTTCCACTTCTATGTGTTATACAGAATAGACAAATTCATAGAGACGAGCAGTAGAAAGAGGCTCTTGAGGAGTGGGAGGGATTGGAAATTGTTTCATGGGCACAGGGTTTCTGCTGGAGATAGTGTAAGAGTTCTGGAAATTGATATTGGTGATGGTCTCATAGCATTGTGAGTATACTTAATGTCACTGGATTTTACACTCAAACCAGTTAAAGCAGCTGGGGCTGCAACCCAGTGGTAGAATACATGCCTAGCATGTGCAAGCGTGTGAAGTTCTGGCTTCAATCCCCAGCACCACCAGACAGGAAAAAATAAGGTTAAAATGATAAATTTTGTGTTATATATTTTACTACAGGAAAAGAAAAGAAAATGAATCCTGTGAAGAACAGTATGTCTTTTGGTCATTTCATGTACTGTATTCTTTTTTTTCTCCCAACTCTTTGAAACCATGGTGAATTATATCTCACCATGGCGTTGCCTAGGGGACCTGTTCCCATCTTCCCTGAGGAGGACTCTGAGGGGTGGCTGCCTGCTGACGCAGGGGAGGACAGGGCCACCACTTGACCTTGAGAGGACCAGTTGATAGAATCTCTCTCCAGGTCATTAGAATGAGTCCAGTGTGTAATAAGAGCTCAGAAGATAGATTTTTAAATGTAGCGATTCCTGGAAATGTTCCCAATTTACTCTATTTTGCCTGTCTTTATTAACTGTCTCAGGAAAGTAGGAGTTGACAGTCCTTTGATTTTCTCCATCAGTTTTCTGCTTTTTTATTTATTTTGTAACAAGGAAGAAACACTCTTAGGCTGCCATTGCTTAAAAGAATGGCTGCAGGTGGCCAGCTGCACACCCTCTCTGGCGGAAAGCACCACGCCCAGGGACTGAGAGCCTCCTCCAGAATGGGGTGAGGGAAGCTTGGAACTTTCCAAGCTTCAGACCACAGATGGGACCTGGTGATACCTTCCTCCAGCATTGCTGATAGTTACCCCCAAAGTCACCTGCCTTGCCAGCTAGCTTACTTAAGCAAGCGAAGGAGTTCCGTGACCTTCACATACTAGATCTTGTTTTTCTAGGCATGAAGTGGCTTGGCTTGCTCTTTCAAAACAGTAAGAATTGCCCTTGATCACTTGTTTTGGTTTGCTTTGCATTCAGTCTACCCTTCTGTCATCTGAAGAGCTCAAAGACTGAAACTGTCACTCCTGAAAATATTTCTGCTTTAAACGGTACTATAACTCCCCTCATTGCTGTGGGTTATTTTCGTACAGGATTTCATGAAGGGTTGATAGGTGCCATTAGTACTGCAAACAGGG